CAGGCAGCACAAATAGCCTCAGGGTACCTGAGGGACAAGCCAGAGGTGGGGTACTGCCTGTGGTCATTTGAGGCTCAGCTCAGACACCTCCTGACTTGTCTGTGAAGAGTGGCCTCCCACTACAACCTTGACCCTGAAGCTTTGCATCTGCCCAGCTTCTGTTTTCTTCCCAATCTTTGGCAGCACCTAAGCTACCTTAGCTGTGTTTTGTGATGGTTAATCTTATCAACTTGATGGGATTTAGAATCGCCATGGAAACAAAGGTCCACCCCTAAATGTATGTAGCACCATCCCATAGGACAGAATCATAGGCTGTCTAAAACGAAGAAAGGGAGCCAAGCACTGGCGTTCATCTCTCTCTCTGCTGGTGGTTTATGTCCCCTGCAGGCACGGTGCGTTGTCCGGAAGGTCAGTGCACCACTCACAGCCCTGCCGTCTCCCCAGCGTCTCCTGGGGCTCTGGGTGCAGAACACACACGTAAAAACATTTCTGAATGAAAGTTCGGCATTCATCGGGATCCACTGAAGTCCCCGTTATTAATGGAGGATATGTTCTCTGTACCAACCCCGTGTGTGAGAGATTGTGTGTGTGTGTGTGTGTGTGTGTGTGTGTGAGTCTATGCATGTGTGTATATACGTGTGTGTGTGACTGTGTGAGAGTCTGTTCATGTGTGTATATGTGTCTATGTGTATGTGTGAGTGATTGACTTGTTTAGCCAATAGAATGTGGTGGAAATGATGGGAGTTTAGCAGCTGTCAGGAATCTCCCAGGTTTTATGTACTTATACAGAGGGGGGTGGGGCAGATAGAGTGCTTACTGTGGATACTGGCCTATGAAGCCAGAGACTGCGGAAGCCAGAAGCCTGCACTGTAGCTCACAGTCAGAGTGGGAGGTCAGAGAGCCAATGGAGCCCACAGGGTGAGTCCTCTGAGGGGAGAGGGACTAACCCCAGCTCCAGCAGTCAGACAGAGACAGCGGCCCCTCCTTCCTCCCGCTCTCCTTGGGGCACATAGTCAAACACCAGCCTCATCCTGAAACAGCATCAGACACATGGGGGGCTCATTTTACCCAAGTGTCTGAGTCCCACCCCAGTCAGGTGGACACACGTGACCAGCACAGGCGCCCTGGACTCTGCCCTCTTCAAGTGTGTCCTGAGATGCTCTCCCTGCCCCGCCCAGGCCAAGAGGGATGAAGAAGTATGTGGAGCTGCCCAGCCTGAGCAGACCCACATTTTCCCAGCTCAGCAATATGATTGGCTGGCCCAGCAGGTCTTGAGGAACAGGCACCGGCTGCTGCCTTAGCCACTGGCTCTGGGGTGGGTTGTTTACAGACTCGCAATGTGGAATTCCCACCCTAGGTCGGTCCCACCCTAGGGAACCTTTGGGAAGTGAGGCCATGGGGCGGGTGGGGCTCCTGAGGGGCACGTTGGCTCTTTCCCTCTGCACCCCGGCCTCGGTGAGGGAAGCAGCTTTGCTCTCCTATGTGCCCCTAGGCCTCACCCCAGGCCCCGAGGCAGCAGGGCTGTGGTGGATGGAGAGCTGTGGTGGATAGGCTCATGTGTTAGAACATTTGGCCCCTAGCCAGGGGCCTACGCCAGGCCTTGAGGCCGGGCATAGCTGGAGGAATGGGTTGCTGGGGGTGGACTTGAGGTTTTCTGGTCTGGCTCTGCTTTCTGTCTATGCATACAGTGTAAGCAGCCACCTTCCCCACCATGATGAACCATATCCCCTCAGACTGTGAGCTAAAATGAACCTGAAGTTGCCTCTTGACAGATATTTGGTTCCAACAAGGAAAACTGACTGACAGACAATAATAAGAGAGTCTCCCGTGTTCTGGGAGAAAGAATGCCAGTCCATATGTGACAAAAATTGGGCTTTGGGGAATCAAAAATGTATCTAGTTATACACTTTTCCTCAAACTGACGTACAGATGTTATCCAATGAAACTGTTTAGAGACACAGGCCCTCAAGTTACGGTTTGGAATCGTTTATAATGTTATATTAATCATATGCAAATGATGCTTCCAAAACTCTGGAAAACAATCGATCCTTTGAATAATTTACACAATGCCCCTGTGACTCTTTGTGACATGATTTGCTTAACAAAATGCTTTTTCCTGAGTCGTTTCAGAGGAAATGTTGATTCCTCTACGCGTGATACCCTGGTGAGTTCCACACCCTGCTTCCTCCCCACAGAGCTTCCCTGCAGGGTTTTATCTTCTTCCCTCTGGGACCTCCTCACTCCTGGGCAGAGCTGCAGATTTCCCACCACGTAGGCCTCACACCAGACTCCTGAATTTGTCACAGCACGCAAGCCAGGGAGGCTGGTGGCACTGCCTGAAGGGACTCCCTGGGCCCCAGATCCTATGTGCACACGTGCTGTGTGCCTCTGTGCATATGTGTTTTGTGTGCACACATGTATAGAGGTATGTTCATTAACATGTTCTGAAGTTCATCTGTTGAAAAGGGGACTCGGCTCTGCATGAGAGGACACGGTTCAAGCCGGGGCTGGTGTCCCTAACCAGTCCTCTGACCTTGGCCACCTTTCCCGTGCCAGGAATGTAACGCCATGGAGTGGGATGGGGGAGCAGGTTTAGAAAAGAAAGTTCCTGGAGCTGAGAAGATGGTTCAGTAGTTAGTGCCCACACATGAGGACTTGAGTTCAGAGCCTCAGGTAAAAGGTTGGGTGTGACAACAGCACACACCTGAAATCCCAGCACTGGGCAGCCCCAGTGATCCCTGGGGCTCACTGGTCAGCCAGTCTGAGTCAGTAAGCTCCAGATTCAGCAAGACACTTCCTGCCTCAAAAAACACAGTGGAAAGTGAGGAAGGTGCCCAGTGCTGATTTCTGGCCTCCACACGCATGCACACACACATGCATGTTTATACCTACATATATGCACACGCCACATACACAAATACCATGCACACACTACACATATACACACACCACACACAAAGTTCTTAATTACCCTGATCTGGTCATTACACAGCTCTCAGATTATCACATCGTGTCCCATAAAGAGAAACAATTGTTATATGTTAATCAAAATATTTTGAAAATTTTTGGAAAAGAAAGCCACACCCTTCCCAGAGCCTTGGAACCGAAGTTCTCGGGCTTTTACCTGATGAAGGCCTTGGTTGTCTTTGAGGAGCTGTACGGAGGTCAGGGCCCTGAGAGGAGGGACAGAGAGCAGAGGCTGTTGCTCTTAGACTCAGGAGACAGTGTACCTGACACCTGAGGGCGGAGGCAGTCAGGAGATTGGCATCTCCTCCCACCTCGTCCTGATCAGCCTGCCAGGTTTTCTTACTTGTGACTGAGTGACTGCAGCCCCTCCTGTAGTTCTGGGGAGAGCGATCAAAGACAGATTTAATTAAATTTTCATATTTAATTTTCTTCTTATCCTTTTTTGCTCCATACATGCTTTTCTCAGGGAGCTGAGAAGCTGTTCCAGAGAGCAGAAATCTGTGGGATCTGAGGGGAAATGGGGCCTTTATGGCTTTTCTTGAAAGGACCCAGACTGCCCATCTTCACGCAGCTCAAACGGGCCTGTAATTTAGGCCGGCAGCATCTGAATTATGAATCACCAGCTCCGATGTGAATTGCTCACGCAGCGAGCGGCCTCCGCTCACAGCCAAGCAGGAATGAAGTGGTACAGTGTGGGGGGTGATGCATGCGAAGGCCAGTGTCCACTCTGCCGCCTCATCTTCCACAGGGCAGGGCCACCCGGGCAGACTGCAGTCCACATGCCTGACGGCGGTGGAGGAAACACATGGCCAACAGTCACGCAAAGTGTGACCTCTGGGGAGTGCTTTGATTTGGGGGCCTGCAGGGGAGCACACTTGAGGGCTCTGTCTCTTTGTTCCAAGGCTGGCGACTGGGTCCCTGTTGGTCTCTCATGGAAATGTTGTCCTCAGCCGAGCCTGGTTGGAAGAGGAAGTGTGAGCGGGGCTGGAGCGAGGCCTGTGGGAACACTGCTCACCTGCTCAGGGCACAGCCTGAGGCCACCCTGCACAGTAAGCCTGGTTGGAAGAGGAAGTGTGAGCGGGGCTGGAGCGAGGCCTGTGGGCCTGTGGGATGTCGGTCTGCAGGTCACTACTGGGAACACTGCTCACCTGCTCAGGGCACAGCCTGAGGCCACCCTGCACAGTCCACAGCAAGAGTCCTTCCAAATCAAGGAGTGGCGGGAACACAGTTTTCCTGGCTCTTGTAAAGGAAGAACTCGCTCTCCCAAACCTTCAGAGCAGTGTGTGTCCACTGATAATTCATACACTCATTACACATTTTTCTGAGCTACCTAGATGAGCCACTGTCCCTAAGGATGTCTTCTACTGGCAGAATTGGAACTGTAATTCAAACTCAGGAAGAGCCCTGTCTAAAGGACAGGTGTTGGGCTAATTCCCGGAACTCAGAACTCCTAAGCCCTCTAACATCACAGGCACCCAACAGATGAGCGGACTTAGGCTGACACCTGCTGAGCCAGGCAGGTCCCTGCCCCAGGGGCTGGTGAGGTCCTGTGGCAGTTGTTAGAGGTTGAGCAGTTCCCCTGAAAGGTGTGCTCAGCCCTAGTTCCTAGCACTGTGACTGCGACTTGACTTAGAAGCAGGGTCTTTGCAGATGTGGTCAGGTGATGAAAAGGCTGTGCTGAAATGGGGTAAGCCCCAGAACAATAGTTGGGGTCCTCAAGAAGAGACGCGCAGAGGGAGCAGACTAGTGAGGATGGGAACTCTTGTGGTCTGGATCCTAAATGTCCCCCAAGGCTCACCTCTGACGGTCCCCAGCTCATGGCCATGTTAGGTGTGCTCGTTCCTTTTTATCAGCTTGACGCAAATGAGATTCACCTGGGCAGAGGGAACTTCAACTAAATTTTCCAGATCACATTGACCTACAGGCGTGTCTGTGACGCATCTTCTTAATTGCTAGTTGATGTGGGAGGGTCCAGCCTACTGTGGGTGGTGTGTCCTTAGGCAGGTGGGCTTGTTGTATAAAAAAGTAGCTGAGCGGAAGTCAGCTGCACACGTACTCAAACTGGAACCATACAGAGAAGATTAGCATGGCCCCTGCCCAAGGATGGCACGCATATTCGTGAAGCGTTCCGTATTTTTAATGGACTCTGTTTTATATGTACATGTGTGCATTTATATTTATAAATGTATATATATAAAAACAATAATCATCAAAGAAGAGGAAATTGAGAGGAAGTGGGAGTGTGTGGGAGGAGCTTCAGGGAGACTGGAGAGGGTGGGCATGATGCAAACACAATACTCATGCATGACATTCTCAAAAATCAAAAAATACATAATTTTACATATATTTAAAACTGAAAGTTAGGGCTGGAGAGATGACTCAGTCTTGCAGAGGACCTAGCTTCAATTCCCAGCACCCACATGGTGGCGAACGACCATCTGTAACTCCAGTTCCAGGGGATCTGACACCCTCTTCTGACCTCCACAGGCATTGCATGACACAGGTGCACTTACATACATGCAGGCAATACATTCATGCACATAAAATAAAAATAATAAAATACTTTTTAAATAAAAGAAAGGTAGCTGAGCAAGCCAGGGGACGTGAGCAAGTGAGCGAGCCAGCAGCTCCTCCATGGACTCTGCTCCTGCCTCCAGGTTCCCCCATGGCTTCCTGTCCCAGTCTCCCTCAATGATGGACTGGCCCCTTTCCTCCCCAGGCTGCTTCGGGCCCTGGTGTTGGGACTGCGCCTCACAGGGTGCATTAGGACCACAGCCTGTTCCCATGCCAGTCCCTGTCTTCCTTCCCTGGCTCTGCTGTTCCCCCCACGCTCTGTACCATGGTGTTCCATCTTACCACAGGCCCAAAGCCACGAGTCTAGCACCATAGTCTGAATCCTCTCAAACTGTGAGGCAAAAGAAATCTCTTCTCCTTGCAAGCTGATTATCTTGGGTATTTTGTCATAGTGGTAAAAGGCTCACTAGCATTACGGGCGCAGGTCAAGGATGGCCAGAGCCACCTTGAGACAGAGCCCTCAGAAGGAGGCGGCCTCGCCGACACCATTGGACTTCTACACTCCAGACAGGCGGAATGAGTGCCTGTTGTTTTAGCCGTCTCCATGGCACTCTAACACCTGCCCCAGGAGACTAACAGAGCTTGGCCAGAAATCAGGGGTCCTGCTCCCGTCTCCCCTCCCAGTAGACACCACGGCAGGACTGTGTGATTGCTGAAGTCAAACAAAAACACAGAGATGAATGTCCGACAGAGGAACTTTTACTGAGGGATAAATAAAGGCTAGGACTTCAAGCTGGGGCACACATGCCCAGGCTGGCAGCCTCTGGTACTGTAACCTTGATGCTCCGCTGAGGCCTGGCAGGAGAGAGGCTCTTCCCTGTAACAGGGACCCTGTGAAGGGATACTCCAAAGACGGACATTCACGCCCCTCCCTCTGGCTAACAGACTATCACTCTTTTCACTTGCAAAATCAGCGTCTAACAGGTAGTCAGGAGTCAGAGCTGATGCTGGCCTCCAAACAAAAGACACAGATACGCAAGGCTCCCACTCCACACCTATCAGAGAAAGGGACTCAGAGCACAGACCTCTGCCAGGCCCAGAGTAGGTGAGGTTCTCACACTCTACAACACCTAATCCTTTTCCCTCTTAAAAATGAAGGCTCTTGGGGCTGGAGAGATGGCTCAGTGGTTAAGAGCACTGGCTGCTCTTCCAGAGGACCTGGGTTTGATTCCCAGCACCCACATGGCAGCTAACAACTGTCTGTAACTCCAGCTCCAGTTCCAGGGCATCCGACACCCTCTTCTGTCCTCCACAGGCATTGCTCAACACAGGTGCACCTACCTACATGTAAACAGTACACTCACACACATAAAACTTAAAAGAACTGAAACAGAGGCCCCATCCTGGGCTGGCAGGTACAGGGAAGAGGTTGCCCACCACAGGCCTGTCTTCCCTCCCACTCAGCCAGGAGCGTGAGTTCACTGTTTCTCCTCTACTTTCTGCCTCTAGCCAGGTGAGGCAGGGCACCTGGCTGTGCCCTTCTTGAGCCCACACGCTGGTTACTCGGCAGCCGCCCTCTCTGCCCTGTTCCCTTATCTGGCAACCGTGCATAGCAGCCTATGGCATGTTGACCAAAGAAAGAGAGAGAGCTCAGAAAGCCAAGGCTCTGCAGTATGGCGACGCAGCCAAAGACCAGTCAGTCACTGCCCTCCTCCTCCATCACCCTCAAAGCCTCCAGCTTTCCCACAGGAGCGTTGCGGGGGGGTGGGGGTCTAAGTAGGGTCTATGTGGTGGTCCTGCCTTCCAGAGACACCCAATATCACCCCAGCAAGCCCATCTCCAAGAACAGCATGGGTGGGTGGTGGCATGGGCTATTTCAGCCACAGGAGGCAGGCTGGCACTCTTCTCTGCCCATATTATAGCTGGTTCTTTTTTGACTCGGGCAAGGAACGCTTGTGTAAGGCAACTTTCCACTATAGCCTATGGCCACCAAGACGCCGGACCGAGTGTCCATGGCTACCTGGTCCTAATCTGAATCTGTTACTACTGAGAATGTGGTGAGGGACACGGGGTGTGGGGCAGTGGAGAGGACCCAGCTCAAAGACGTAGCAGGACCCCTTCTCTCCCTGCCCAGCCCCAGCAGGGGGTGCGGGGCTGGAACACCAACCTGGGAGTCTGTGGCTTTCTTTTTCTTGAAGTTCTAAATGCTGTGTTGAGGCATCAGTCCCACACCAAACAGTTCACCCATATGAAGTGACCTTGGTACCACAGTCTTCCACGACTTTGTCTCCCCACAGAACAACTCTGCACTCCACAGCTGTCACGCCCCAGACCCCATGACCCCAGCCCCAGGCAGTCACCCGAGCAAGACTTGCCTGTTTATGACCCTCCATCTCAAGCAACTATCGGTCGTGCAGTCTTTGAGACCTGGCATCTCTTACTGAATGTGATGTTTCTCCAAGGATCACACACACACACACACACACACACACACACGCACACACGGTGTAACTCAGCACTTCATTCATCCTATGGGCAAGTAGTATTCAGGGCTACCACCATCTGCCTCTGCTCATTACTGGACACCTGGCTTCCACCTTTCAGACACCGTGACCCAGCGCCACCATGGATGCCATAACAGGGCACAAGTTCAGCGTCAACAAGCATCCTCCATCCCCAGGGGTGTCTGCCCACTGGCAGTGCTCTTTGTATCCCTACAACATTCACTGTGTAAGTTCCAGTGTCCAAAGCAGGTCATGTTACCAGAGGCATCTCCTCAGTGCTAACGCAGAGGCGCGTACAGCCCCGTGCTGTCTTTGTTCACGAGGGAATGACCTTCCATCATCACCGCTGGCCCAAACAGGAGAGGGCTGAATGCGCAGGCATCTCTTCTTCCTCCCTTGTGTGCTTGAGGAAGGGGGAGAGGGAGCTCAGAAGTCCAGGCCTCATCTGGACCTGGCCAAGGTGTTTGCAGACCAGATGGGTTAGTCTTGTATTAGTGAGCTTTCTGTTGCTGTGATGAAACACTCTGACCAAAACAACTTGGGGGTTGGGGGATAAGCGCTTCCTGCACCTTACGCCCTCATCGAGGGAAAGAAAGCCAGGGCAGGAACCTGGAAATAGGAACTGAAGCAGAGACCGTGAGACCGTGGAGGGATGCTGCTCTCTGGCTTGCTCCCCGTGGCTGCTCAGCTGCCTTTATTATACAGCCCAGGCCTATCTGCCCAGGGACGGCACTGCCCACAGTGGGCCGGGCCCTCCTACATCAATTATCAATTAAGAAAAAGCTTCACAGACAAAGCCCACAGGCCAGTCTGATGGAAGGAGTTTCCCAACCGAGGTTCCCTCTTCCCAGGTGACTCAAATTTGTGTCAACTTGATGAAACGAACCATTTTATCTGGGATGGGCCTTGCTGTGGAGGACAAGCAGTTCAAGATAAGGCCTTAGGGGCTGTAAGTCCAGAGCCAAGGCTACACGTCAACACCAGACCAGAAAGCTCAGGTGGTTCCCTGATAGCTTCCTCCTCAAACTCTTGCTGCTGGCTGAGTTCAAGGGTGAATCAGAGTTCTCCCTGCCCACCCCTACCCCACCCCCCGCAGCAGCTGACGTGCCTGAGGGGCCATCTTGGGCTCCAGGGGCAGCCACCACCACCACCTCCTCCTTCCTCAGTCCAGGCCGTTGGACGCAGGGCAGAGTCAAGGTATCTTATTTGTGTTTGTAAAATACAGTGGTGAGTTGGAGTAAGCCCTTCTGGCCTTCCCTATGATTAGTTTCTTTTTTTCATTCAGTAACTTCCCCCACCCCTCTGGAGACCAGGGAGGGAGGTAAACTTGGATTGAAGTCAGGCAATTCCTTCTGCACAAATCATTTGTTAGGATAACAAACAGTCCTTTGCCAGACCCAGTTCTGGGATTCAGGGCCACAAGACCAGCAGTTACCAAGTCACGCAGACCCACAAGGCCATGTCCGAGGGGACACTCGGGTGCAGAGTTAACAAAAGGCCACCAGATTCCGGCCTCTCAGTACAAGAGAATGGGTAACCTGACTCCACAAGGAAAGTGATTGACTTATAGAGGGCTCCCCTAGGCTGGTGTGGAAGGGACAGCCTTTCTGAGGACCAAATGGTCACAACTGGTCGGGCAGCCAGGTAGGCCAGGGCCTTGATGGGGAGAGCCTGCTATGAGGCCTTTGGAACCAAGGTCACACCAGAGCAGTGTGGGCTGTGCTGGAACTGAAGGCCTCCCCCCGACCCCACCCCCACCCCCGCCTTCCTGACCACTCCTCC